CACCGCCATCCATGCCCACGGCAGGCGGGGGGGAGATGCAGGTCTGCCTGTGGCACATCTGCACAGACACCATACTGCATCCAAAACAGATCCCAAAGTGCTTCATCGAAAATGTGAATGCTCAGCAGCACTGCAGCACAGCCCTAGTACAGCACAACATGGGCACGCGAGTACCCTGGGGAGGAAGGAAGAACGCAGGGGCCCCCCCCAAGACCACGCCTGCAAAGTCCAGAGGCCAACGCTCCAGACGCAACCAGCCCCTCTAGTTCTCAGGTCAGATCACAGGGAACACGCGCATCGATCTGGAAGGACCTGGCAGCCACCGCAACAAAACCTTCAGACGCTGCCTGTGGTGTGGCTGAGCCTCGCTGCCTGCGAGGTCCCTCCAGAACGTTGCATTTTCAGGGCATCTATCTTCCTCCTTTCTTTAGGGAGTAGGCTGGTGCTCCAGGGAGGACATCCTCAGCCAGTCGCAGGATGGAAAGCCACCCTGGGCTGACGGGGGTCCTGGCTCAACCTTGGGAAGCCCTCGTCTTGACTGAGACCAACTGCGCTCCCCTCGCAAATTCTAATGGGAGCAAGGCCAGAAGCAGCTGCCTGCAGATTCTGCTGTGCTTTCAGGAGTAGCAACAGTTGGATCCTGCTGCAGATGCATAGCGGGGATCCACCCCGGCCTCCTATCTGTCTGGCTGCAGTGCGCCGACAGGCATCTTGATTGCTGTAAGCTCCTTGCACATGCCCCTAGATTCAAACTAGATTCCAGCAGGCATGCCACACATCTGGGCCCCAGAAGAGAATTAATTAGAAAGTAGATTCACTGACACGGGGAGCCAAATGATCCAAACCATCTTGAAAAGAACACGCCAAAAAGGAGATTGCACAGAAATCTGGCTCCCTCTGCAATTCAACAACACACCCACTCCAGCCCAGTAGTTTTAAAGAAGACAATGGCTAACTTAACTCCCAGCGGTCAAAGCAAGGAGCTGAGACTCCTGGCTTCTACCGATTCCGCAAGCGACCCTGAGCAAGGCGCACTGCTTCCGGGTGCCTCGATTGCCCCCATCAAAGAGGGGGACAACCCAGCCTACCTCACACAGGGAGGGAGCCTTACGAGGCACAACAAGTATCTCTGTTGAACAAAGCACTACATCTAAATACAGAGGGAGAGTATTTGCTCCCGGTACATCCGAAAAGCCACAGCTTTAAATCAAAGACTGGGACCTTAGCAGACAAGAAGCCTCAAAACAAAACAAAAAAACCTGCTTTCAGTAAGTCCGCTCCAGTACAGTCTGAACAACAGCAGAGGAGGAGGCTCCAGGCGAGGAGAGACTGGGCTGACATATTCCCAATCCCGGAATTGCTAGCTGATAGTTCAAGAAACCTGAAACCCACTGCGTTCCCGGAGGACTTTCTGGTGAATCATGCTCCCGCTTGCTCGCTCCGAAGGACGATAACACGGATTCCCAACACTGCCGCAAGAATGCGGAGCCCGCGCTTGCCTCCCGAGGGGGCAGGAAAGCCTCCCAGCCGCCAGCCTGACTGCCTCGCAGCTTCCAGTCTTGGTGCTGGCTGACATTGGTGCCTTGCTACCCCTATCGGGAGAAAGGGCCAGAGAGGAAGCCGGGAAACCAGAGTCACAACGATTCAGAAAGGAAGCAGCTTCGCCGCACCTCCCTCCTATCAGATGCTGGGCAGAACTCTTGCGAAACCCAGACGACTGCTGACTTGCGCCTACATGGCAAAGGCCAGAACCCAGGCCTCCTGAGCTGTGCTGACATGCCCCGCAGCTCACGAACACCTGAGTTATGAGATGAGATGAGTCGCGATGTAGCGATGCAATGAGCAGAAAGTCACCCGCCAGCCAGTCCAGGAAGCAACAAGACCAGGTTGCCATTGCAAACACCCTCTAAGCACATCGCCGACGCTGCTAACCACCCGCCCGCTCACAACAAGCGGCAATCCTGGGACAAGCCCGATCCAAAATGTCCCATGGATAGCACCACAAACTTACATAGAACACCTTGGCTTTGGAAATGAGAGGTCCTAAGCAAGCTCAAGGGCTTCATGAGGACAGGCAGTAGGCAGAGAACAGCAAAAGGAGAGACCCCAAAGACCCGCCGTCCCTCCTGAAATATCTCTCGCCCCAAGTTTGGACAAGATCACGGGCACGCTGCCTAACACCACCCCTCCTAGACCACCAGTCCTCCCAAGGTTAACAGCAGAAGGGGTTGGAACACCTCCAGAGAAA